ACAGTCCAGTAAAAATGATAATTATATAATATGCATAAAGAATAACAGTAGATAATAATAATAGTCCATAGATTCCATAATAGACAAAAAATAGTCCAATAGGTAGCATAATAATAATGATAATAACTGAGAAGAGAACTATTTAAGAAAAAGAAAAGACCGTGTCTAATAATATTTCGACAGTATATCCGTCTTCCTCAAATTATGTTTAAAAATTTCATATAAAGTATAAAAATATAAAAAAATACGACTCTTTCACTTGCCTTGAGAAAAAAGTTTATACTGGTAATCAACATGACAAAGTGAATGAAACACAGCCAGTGTGAATAGAATGTAAATGAAATGTAACATGATGGGGATCATATTCATCTTGAAATTTTCCGTCAGTTGATTAGTTAGTAAGAGCAATTAATTAAAATGGTTTAGTATAAATCTTATGGAAAATTTCAAGATATGCATAAATCCCTATCATGTTATTCACATTACAATTGCATTTCATTCATGCTTTATCACATTGTTTACCAGTACAACCATTTTTCTCAAGACAAGCAACATTTGTGCAAAGACTTGTATTTTTTTGATATTTTTATACTTGTATATATTTTTAAAACACAACTTGAATACTGTCAAAATATTGTCAAACACTGTTTTTCTTTTCCTAAATAGTACTCTTTAAATATTGCAAAATATTGGAAGAATTACATCAATCATTTTGCATAATAATAATAATAATAAGAGAACCATAAGAAAAGTAATGTTAGTAGAATAGCAAATGCCTTGTGTGACTTATAGGAGCTTTAGTTAAGCTCACCAGTCCCAGACAGTAGCAGAGTGAGAAAAGAGAAGCAGGGCAAGAGCTGATAGCTTGATGTAAGCGACCCACACCAGGTGCTCTTGCTAGCTTGCAATGCTCGTTTGTCTGGTGAAGGCAAATGTATAAAGTAGGGTTAGTGAATTCTGGTTAACAGAACACAGCACTTCAAACACCTCCTGGAGAAATTTGAGTTTAGTTGACAAGTTTTTGAAACTAATGACAGTGGGTTGACGTTAAAAAAAAAATAAATAAATGAATAAAAAAAAAAAAAAAACAGTGAGCTGATAACCCCCCCAAAAATAAAGAAAAGTGGGACGACCCCCCAAAAAAAAAAAGAAAAAAAAAAAAAAAAAGAAAAAAAACTGTGAGCTGCCCCCACCACCAAAAGAAAGAGAAGTGGGCTGCCCCCCCACCACCAAAAAAAAAAGAAGTGGGCTGCCCCCCCAAAAAAAAACAACAGTGGATTAATTAAAAAAATAAATAAAATGGATGAAACAGTGGAGTGATAAAAAAAAAAAAAAAAAATTATGCACACGTGTTTGTTACCTCAAAACGTGTGCATAAATTAAAAATAACAATACTGAATTCTTCTTATACTTGGAATATTTGTCACCCATTTATTTGTATGAAAATGGTCGATCTGAGGAATTAGAATTGAATTTTGATTCAAAGGAAATAAATTATAATCACTATGAACCCTTAAAGTTGTCTGTTTCTTAATATAATTTACATATATCATTTAAAATGTGAATACCTGATTAAGTACATGTCCCAAACAAACAAAATTGTTCATGTTGAACAATAAAAGATTCATTTATCAAAATTCGAATGAGATATTCAAAGGGATGTAGATTTTATAACCAATTTCACAAAGCTTCACAAACGTTCAATATGTGCATCACCTGTGACATGACACATGTCAAGTCGGTAGTCCAACACCTGCCAAACATGCTGTAGCATGTCTTCTGTATCATTCCCCAGTGCCTCAGTGATTCTCTGCTTAAGTTCCTCAAGGCTTGTAGGATGAGTGGGCGGGAGGGGTATATATAGACCTGTTCTTTCACATAGCACCATAAAAAAAAAAATATCACAAGGTGTCAAATCAAGTGAACAAGGTAAATTCTCAATATTTGATTTTCTTTTTAAGTAAATGATAAACAAAAATATCTCATTCACCTCTAATGAGATTGCAAAATTATTACTCTCAGAAAAAGGAGGTAAGAAAAGTGGTGTGTTCAGTTGAGTCAGTTGTTTTGCTTTTTTTTTTTTTTTTAAACCTCTTCCAAATTTGAAGAACTTTTTTCTCTCTTTTTGCCTTTTGATCTGCAGCCATGCATTTTATTTTTTTTAAAGAATAGAAAATACCTTTGCATGAGAAGTGTCCTTCTTGAAGACGAAAATGAAAACTTGCCGGTAGTCTAGAGAAACCATTGATATTATATATAAGTCAACCTGAAATTACAAGTGTACTGCCTTTTTAAAATAAGAGGGAAATGGAAAGAAGTAAGACAGAGAACTTATAGTCAAGAGAGTTGGAAACAAGAAAATAAGCAGATTAGTTACAAAATGAATCATTAGCAGATCAACCTTGAAAAAGTTAGTGACGACAGAAAAAATTATGTTCAAAGAGGTTAGAGTCAACAGAGAGAGACAAAAAAAAAATATAAAATTGTTGCAGATTATAGAGTTGAAATCAAGATTTCACTGCTAATCACAAGAACTGAGAAGAAAGAAATTGTCCAATTGAAGAACAGATCAAGATAGAAAGTATAAGATGTATAGTGGTTGAAAAATACAAGAGATTTTTACAGCAGAAACCATTAAAATAATCTTTTAACTTAGACTAAATACCAAAAATTAAACATTGAATTATGTCAATGTTTTCCTACAAACATTTAAAAAATGATTTCAGAAGATTGGTAATCATTGTTGGCATTGGTTTTAAGAAAAGAAGCAAATATTATATACAGAACAAAATAATAATGTTAGCTATTAATATTAGCAATTAATATATATGAAATTACATAATTTAACATACACTGAATCTAACAGAATTCCTGCTAATAAAGTGCTGAGTTGCTTCCCTTTGCCATTTCTATAAGTACTTCATTGTAATTGTTCAGATGAGCTCTTTGCTATGGTACTGAGACTTTATAAATTTAAGTGCAATACTAAATTGGTAACAAGATATCATCATTGTTCCTGACCTGGAATCTCAGCGTCAGTCACATTTCCACCACTGTAAAATATCTTCATGGTACCTTTTCTATAAATACTTTCATGAGAACTGTTCTTATATAATTTCCTCTATGGTTTCATTTATTTTTATTCTCCCAGCCCCCTGCCAGACAAATTCTGTATTTGGCAACTAGTTAGGACATCATATAGACTTTGAGCTATTATGATGGTTGTAATAAGAATGATAAGTAAGAATGTGTTGTTTTGGTGTAACGTATACTGTGGTACGTTTGGGTCAGTAATTATGGCTAGCTAAGGTTAAGATAAGACAAATCGAAGACCAACCTTCCCCTATATCCACTTTTGGCTTTGTGCCACATTTTTGTAATTTCAAAATAAATATTACTTTTTTCTATGACACCTAGACTTTATGAATTTAAGTGCAGTACTAGATTGGCAATTAGGTCTAATCAATTAATAGTTGAATTGGCTATATGTAACCTTAAGTTCTATACTGAGTTTCTTTTCACACATTTCTTGCTTGCAGAACTCTTTTCTGGATCCATACTTTCCAGACAATTTTAATCTTCAAAAATTTAAATGCAATGTCAATTGTTTTCTACTGTCTTCTTGATTCGTCTTCTATTGCTCTTGTTCCTTGGTAATTTTTCTGCTTTCTAATTCCATTGACTCCTTGTGTCTTAGTGGCTTTACTGCCTTAATTGGAAAACATCTGACTTAAAAGAGCAAAAATAATTATTAAATGAGATATAATAAAATTCAATATTTACTGAAGGCTGACTCAGAGAGCTTGAATAAGTTTTGTTCAAAGTGCCAGATTGTGCACTCTTTCCCTAACTAAATGTTTGAGCAGGTTTCTGCAACAGAGATTATCTAGCTGTCCTAGGGCACCTCCAGGTGGTGTAATGGTTAGCAAGCTTGTCTCACTAGAACAATTACAATTGAGTAGTGAGTTCAATCCTCACTGGATGCCCCTTACTTTCGGCCTTGTGCCACATCTAAGCTATGCTTGAAAAATCACTATCTAGCTGGCCAAACAGACAAGTATACTCAGAAACAAGTAGCCATTATTATTATTATTGTATATATGTGTGCATGTATACAAAGTAAAATACAAACAGTGGAAAAAGTTAAAATATGATATTTTCAAAAGCACTTCCTAGCAAAATCATTATAAATACAATGTTACTGGTGAAAAATTATCTTGGTAATTGAAAGTTTTTTTACCATACTTATCTCCCTTTGTACTGTCAATGGATTATTACAGAGTGGATTGGATGAAGCCATTTTTAATAGGTTTTAAAGATACATATCAAAAGCTGTAGGTTAATCATGGTTGGAATAAGCTGGTTAAAAATCATCAAAACATGCTGGCAAAAATTTTAAAAAAAAAAAAAAAAAATCAGTTAGTTTGAAAGATTTAAAAATTTGCTGACTGCTTGATCCATGCACCAGGTCTAAGTTTTTTTTTTCTTTTCTAATACTGAAAGCTGTTAATACTGCAAAATAAAAAATATTCACAATGTAGCAATTGCAAAAAAAAAAAAAAAAAAAAAAAAAAAGAAAAGAAAAAAAAAAAAAAAGCTTAAAAATTAAAATGAATAAATTATGCATTTCCCATTATTTGATGGTCAAATAATCTAAAAAATGATGGAGGAAAACAAAAAAAAAACAACTCCCAAATCATAATCTGATTATTCTAAAATTATTCATTCATTCATTTTCTACAGCTTATCAACCCTGTGCAGGTTATTTAAAGCCAGAAAATATTTTTACATTTTAAGAAATTTTGGGGAGGAGATAATAATGGTTTAGTGAAGCACGTCTGACTAATTAACCCATAACTGGGAGGAGAAGAGGTGGATTTGTACCTTTCCCAAGGGTATCTAAATGCAAGTGAATATAACGAACACAACAAAAATTTAAACCCTGCTCTCCAATTAACAATTCCAAGCCATTATCCATTACACTACCTGCACATTCAAACTTACAGCACCTGGTATTCACAAGCAGTCACTCATCTAGGTACTGACCAGGCTAAACATTACTTAACTTCAGTGATCGTATGAGAACTGGTATTTCAACATGATGTGGCAGTAAGCTTATTGTAAAGTTAGTTTTACAAGAGGGATATCATCTGCCAAAATGAGGAATAAATTTCATTTTGATGACTTCAAAAATTCTAAAAAAGAACTAAGTAGATAAAAAAAATTAACAGCATTCAAGAACAGACTTATCCACCATGTATAGCTAGATAGATAAAAAAAATAATTAATTTAGGAGCTGCTATTGAAAAATATAGCAAATTTAGATTAATTTCAATCTGCTAGAGTTTCAGTAACAGTCTTTTCAATCTGCTAGAGTTTCAGTAACAGTCTTTTCAATCTGCTAGAGTTTCAGTAAGTCTTTTCAATCTGCTAGAGTTTCAGTAACAGTCTTTTCAATCTGCTAGAGTTTCAGTAACAGTCTTTTCAATCTGCTAGAGTTTCAGTAACAGTCTTTTCAATCTGCTAGAGTTTCAGTAACAGTCTTTTCAATCTGCTCAAGTTTTGCTAAAGGTCATTTAAATTTGCCTAAATCTTCTAACCCTTGAAAAGATTTGTATGAACTCATTTGTTCAAGCAACTCTTTAATCCTGTTGTACATGTCATCATGATAATGTTTCAGCCAATAACTTCTGAAGCCTTCTCCATTTTTTACATTCCATAAGAAATGACACCCTTTTTCTGCAGAGATGGCTGTTGAACAATAGAAAATGGTGACAATAACGTTGATTAGGTTCATCTGTCAATTTTACTGTATTTCTCGTCTCCCTGAATATTTCACAAATCTCTTGAAATCACTCCACCATGAAATGAAATTCATTTTCTACCATTTTTTTTCCTCTTCATTTTGAAGAAGCTCAATCTTCTGTAAATCATAAGTATATATATATATATATATATATATATATATATATGTGTGTGTGTGTGTGTGTGTGTGTGTGAGTGAGAGAGAGAGACCAAAGATACATACCTGTATAAAAAAGAAAAGAAAAAAATAAAAAAAAATAAAAGAACTGGACAGGCAAATTTTGTTTCTGACAAAATACTATTCATAAAGTGATAAATAGAAAGAGGCAGAAAGAAACACGTGAAAAATGAATCAGCTGATTAACAAGTTCATCTGTCAAGTTCATGGCATTTTTTATGTCTTACTGGACATTTAACACATCTTTGGAGATCACTGTACCAGAGACAACATGGCTGTCATCCTATAGAAGGATGTTGACAGTGCCTGGGTCAGAACATGTGAACAATGAGGAAGTTTAAAAGTAAATGGGAACAAAAAGGACATTTGTGCTTAGAAAGAGACATGGTTGAAATTTCTGGGAGGCATAATGAGGACAGCTTGGAGAATATGACACTATAGGGACATACTCAAAGTATACAGAGAGAAACATTAAGCAACCTACCTAACAAGCTTGTGTATATCATTGTTCACCCAATACAAAGCCAAACTACTACCCAAGGTGGAGGGTTAATGAATGGAGTGATTGTGTGGATGTAAAAGGAGGAAGTGCCAATAATGGTTGAATCTAGAATCTAGGTGACAATTATAGTGATCAGGAAAGTATCATCTCAGGAGTTTGTTCCACAAAATAGTGGAAGAAGAAATTTCTCCTTACAAATGGAATGAGGAAGATTTGACTGTTTATGTGACATGAGTCTTAATTGTGAAGGCTTGAACTTAGCAATGTAGTTTGTACAAGCATTACTTAGATCTACAAAGGATAGGAAGTTGTAGAGAGCCATGATTGTTTTTTAATAATTTTATCCCAAACCTGGCAATAAAAACACTAAGATGCATGGGGTTACTGAGTGTGAAAGAATATGAGAAAAAAAAAAGCATTATTAAGAGAGAATAATAAAAGAACAGGAATTAAGAAGACAGTAGATAATGATTGACATTGCATTTAAATTTTTTAAGATCAAAGTTGACTGGAAAGCAAGAAGCTGGAAGAGAGTTCCACAAGTGTTGTAACCTAGGAAAAGGTTATTGAATAAGAATAACCAAAATGAAGGTTGGAAATCGAACAATAATATTTATAACAGGAACAACATACAAGATACACCAGCGGTATGTAGTAAGTAATCGACTGCTAGTAGTGAGCTAAAGGTGAATCACAAGTGAATCCTAAGGGGAAGAAAACATACAGTATATTATTCCACTGTATTTATAAGGATTGGGACATACCCATTATAGTCCATAGGCATGATCTAACAAGCAAGAAGTGTAGGAGAAGAAACTGTTAGCATAGAATTTACATCTATTTCAAATGTAAAAAGATGAGATGCTAATGCCTATCTGCACTTAAATTTGTAAAATCTAGGAATCATAATGGAAAGCTCATCCAAACAATTACCATGAAAATGTATACAGAAAGGGCACAGGGATATGGTGGTAGGAAAATGGCTGAAGATGCCAGGTTAGAACCAATAACCTTGTAGATTCTTTATGGATTTTATCAAGAATCTCTAAATACATAGCAGAAGCACAAGACCAGATGTAGAAGCAATATTCAATGCACAGACTAATGGTAAACTTATAAATGTATAAGATAGATTCTGACAAGAAAAATTTTCTAGCACAACACAGTGAACCAACTTTCCTAGTAGCAGACTGTTGTAGAATAGGACTCTGCATACTTCCTGCTCTTCCCTACAGCTGTGAGTGACAATGGACTGCTCCTAGTTATAAATATGGCAAGTCACCATATTAGAGTAGGATTTGAGTAGTATTTGATTTACTAAAGTTATTCTGTTCTATGTATGAGTATTTAATAAATCTCTTCTTTGTTTCCTTTATTTAGTCTTCTGTTCATTTGATAGTCTCTCTAACTACAGACTTCTTAATTCTCAGCTATTTTGAACAAAGGCAACTTCACAACACAGACCTTCAAATCAAAGAGTACTAAAAGCGGTTCAAAAGGAAATTTCAAATTTGAAATGTATTAGTGTTTGTTCCAATGGGTTAAGTATGAGATCTGATAATAATTTCAATAATTTTATTGAACATCTGATTCTGACAAGTGATTTAACATATAACTGTGAAGCTGGTTAATTAAGATAAGTCAACTGAACATTTACTGAGAGATTGAATATATAAAGCTGTTAATGGTTGTACTAGCACAAAGTCACAAGTCATTATGACTGAGGGTTTGAGTGTTCTTCAAACTGTAAATCATGCCAGGTTATGTGTTCTCTCAGAAATGGTAACTATGTTCTGATTAACATAGTTGCAGTATAAACCACAGGTAGGCTATATGGATGTTAAATAAATACAAATGTACCCGAGTAGGTGTCTGCAATAGAAATTGGTTAGCAGATGTGTGGGGATGGAAACGAGTAGCTGACCATTATATATTTGAAAGGTTATGGTATTTCTGGGAAAATTATTGAACTGATTCAATCCTTCTTATCAAAATCCTGAAATGAAACTTGTCTTGTTGTTACTCCTCTAGACCTTTTTGCATTAATGCAGATGTTCTCCAGGGTTCTATCCCTGGACCTACATTATTCCTAATGGCATCAATTCTCAACTCAGTATGCTGATGATAACTTAATAGTAAGTCTGATAAATTTGATAAGGTCAAATTGGCAGCTGACCCCCAAAACGGCCTACATTCTGTTGTTAACTAGGGCAAGGAATGGCTTAATTCTAACACCTCCAAAACGAACCTGCTTTCTATTAATTATTTGAGTGAACAGCACGACTGATGCTAAGACTGACTCAGGCTAACGTTTCCTGCTGGTATGAAATGGAAAGATTATATTGAATCAATTTCTTGGTCTGCTGCTAGGAAAGTTAGTTCAACATGTTGTGCTAGACAATTTTTCTCACTTGAATCTATCTTACATATTTATATCTATACTTAGAATATTGTTGCCACATATGGCCTGGTGCTCCTTGATATGTATTTAAAGGTCCTTGATAAAATCAAAAGAAGAAACTGAAATGTCATTAGTCTTGAGCCGGCATCTTACCTCCAGTCACATTTCCACTGCTGTAAAATAGCTTCCCAGTGCTTTTTCTATAAACACTTTCATGGTAATTGTTCTGAAAAAAACTTTCCTCTATGGTACATCAACTTTATGAATTTAAGCACAGTATTAGATTGGCAACAATGTCTCATCACTTGAAACAGCCAGATGTAACTGTAAGTTCTATGTTTACAGTCTCTACTATCACACTTCTCAGATGTGAAACACTCTTCTGGCTTCTTGCTTTCCAATCAACTTTGACTTTCAATAATTTAAATGTAATGTCAATCACTATCTTCTGTCATCTTAATTTCTATTCCTTTAATGTTCCTGCTCCTTAATATTTTCTTTTTCTTATATTGTTTCACTCAGAAATAGCCTGTATCTCAGTGGCTTTGTTGCCTTGCTTGAAGTGAAATGATTAAATATATATATATATATATATAAGTTAATAATAACAATAATAAAGATTATGTCTTACTAAAAAAAAAAAAGGTGGGCCAGTGTATAAGGATGACATGTTTTTAAGGTAAGGAATTTTTGTTTTGTATGTAAAGTGCCAAATATTAAGAAAGAGAGCATTTAGAAAAAAAGTTAAATACTTATTTTCCTGTTTCATGTTTACTGATGTTTTCTACTCATCAAGGTGTTTGATAGTTCAGTTTATTAACATATATTATCTGTTAATAAATTCTATCTAATCCTCTGTTGAGCGGATAATACCTGCAAAACTTGAAACCAGGAAGTGTTTGGTTTTGTTTGGTTTACAGCATATCAACCTCAATGGGTCATTTAATGGCGATAATTTTTTTTTTTTTTTTCAGGTAATATTTTTGTTTTATCAAAAATCTATTTCCGGTAATAGTTTTTTTCTTCAAAAATTTATTTCTGGTAATAATATTTTACAAAGTATTTCTGGTATTAAAACCTATTTTTACACTTTCATAGTGTTTTTACCCCAGTTTCAGGGTTATCTATTTCCCCATAGCTGTGACCCTAACAGGTGCTACCACCCCGGGCCAGGGTGGACCTGGGAACACCAGCAATTAAGAGGTGGTTCCACGTTCCTTAAAACCTCCTGATCAGAGGCCTTGCTGTTGGACGTAGTTTATCGTCTTACTCAGGACGAAACCAAGAAGTGTATATATTTGTTTATAAATATGAACATTTCTTATAATTTCTGATGACAACATTTATATATGTTGTGAAAAGATACAAAAATATTTGTTATGAAACAAAATTAGAGTTTGAATGGTACCAGGCTGTAGAAAAATATGCTTAAAGCATTATAAAAATTTTATATATGAAACAAAAACAATGGATGTAAATACGTGTTTTTTTTTTGTTTTTTTTTTCAATTTCAAATATATCAAAATAAATAAGGCTATAAAAGATTAATTTTATTATAAACTTAAGTTTTGGTTGATGTGTTTATTTTTTCCTATTTGTTTTCATCAATGTTAAAAATACTACGTTCATTTAGATGATGAAGAAATCTTCTTGTCAATAAATATACTGTTTCAATATATGTTGTTAATGCAGGACATGAAAAATACAAACTTAAGTTATACAAAGTAATGTTAAAAAAGAAAACAAAAAATGAAAAACAGATTGGTTAAGCTTTAATTAGTGTTGTTAAGTGTAAACAAAATTACAATTAAAAATCGGTTTAGATTTGAGCAACAAAAATGGAAGCAAGGTCACAGGTTTCTGATGAACTTTGTTAAAGAAGATTAAAGAGTCAATTAAAAATGAATATGGGTTGAGAGAGGGGGACAGGATGTGTCACAGAGCATGGAGAGAGGGGACAGTGCTCCATCTAGGGCACGGAGAGAGGGAACATGGTGGGGCACACAGGCAGAGGGGACATGATGCACCACGTGGGGCGCACAGGCAGAGGGCACATGATGCACTCATGGGACACAGAGGGGCTGATGCACCATGGGGGGCATGGAGAGAGAGGGACAGATGGGGGGCATGGAGAGAGGGGACATGATGCACCATATGGGGGCATGGAGAGAGAGAGGACATGATGCACCATATGGGGGGAGAGAGAGGACATGGAGATGGAGAGAGGACATGATGCACCATATGGGGGCATGGAGAGAGAGGACATGATGCACCATGTGGGGGCATGGAGAGAGAGAGGACATGATGCAGGGGGCATGGACATGATGCACCATGTGGGGGCATGGAGAGAGATGCATGGACATGATGCACCATGCATGGGGGCATGGAGAGAGAGGGACATGATGCACCATGTGGGGGCATGGAGGGCATGGATGCACCATGAGGGGGCATGGAGAGAGAGACATGATGCACCATGGGGGGGAGCATGGAGAGAGAGGACATGATGCACCATATGGGGGCATGGAGAGAGAGAGGACATGATGCACCATATGGGGGCATGGAGAGAGAGAGGGACATGATGCACCATATGGGGGCATGGAGAGAGAGAGGACATGATGCACCATATGGGGGCATGGAGAGAGAGGACATGATGCACCATGTGGGGGCATGGAGAGAGGATGATGCCCATGGGGGGCATGATGCACCATGTGGGGCATGGAGAGAGAGAGGACATGATGCCCCATATGGGGGCATGGAGAGAGAGACATGATGCACCATATGAGGGGGCATGGAGAGAGAGGACATGATGCACCATGTGGGGCATGGAGAGAGAGGACATGATGCACCATATGGGGGCATGGAGAGAGGACATGATGACATGATGGAGAGAGAGGACATGATGCCATGTGGGGGCATGGAGAGAGAGGGACATGATGCACCATATGGGGGCATGGAGAGAGGGACATGATGCCCCATGTGGGGGCATGGAGAGGACATGATGCACCATATGGGGGCATGGAGAGAGAGGACATGATGCACCATATGGGGGCATGGAGAGAGAGGACATGATGCACCATATGGGGGCATGGAGAGAGAGAGAGAGAGAGGACATGATGCACCATATGGGGGCATGGAGAGAGAGAGAGAGAGGACATGATGCACCATATGGGGGCATGGAGAGAGAGAGAGAGAGAGAGAGAGGACATGATGAGGTGTATAAAGCAGAGAGAGAGGTACATGTGGGGCAGAGAGAGAGGACATGATGAGCTGCATAGGGCACAGAGAGAGAACAAGGGGCAATGAGAAATACAATAGGTCATCAGGAGATATGGAGGAAGAATAAAACCAAGTAAAAAATGTATCAAAAAGAAGATTACGTTCTAAAAGTTAAAGTGATTATTAATACTTACAAGAATCTTTTTTTTTTTTAGACAACTCCTTGTGAATGGACATATGCTTAGTTTACTATTGTACCATAGTTATTGTGCGTATGTGTTTGGGTTCACCCTTATTGACGAGATAAAGCGTGCAAAAACCTGCAAAAATTAGTGTCAGTCTTATGACCAGCTATTAGTGTCTTTGATATAGTGTCCAGAAAGTATTATTCATAAAATTTTCTATGAATGTATTCACACCCAAACCATAAACTTAATGGATACCAAACAGTAATATATAAGTAAACCTGCTTACAGATATAGACCACAAAAACATAATGAATAGATGAAGTAAGATGACCACAGTTTAAAGATGCCTTAAGAAAGAACAACTTTTCTCATGTGCGTTTCTGATTATCTATGTTTGGACATGTGCATTTTGTGGACATGTGGGCATTGGCACACACAGTGTGTGAATAGTACCTTTGGAGATATAATCTCAATAAGTATCGATGGTGGTATATCTGAACAAATTGTCTGAAAAGATAAAACAAAAAACAATTTAGCCAGATAGTGATTTCATGGCCTTGTTGACAAAGGTCAAAACGGTTCTTCCATTTGAAGGTTGGGCAGGGGGAAATCAAACTGCTTGCCCAAACCTTTACCTACAAGTGAAGCACAGAGAAGGAATATAAAAATGGAGCAAGATGAATGGTAGAAATATATGACCATATTTTTATTAGTTACAGAGTAATTGTCTATATTGTGTGCCATTCCCAGAGATGGTTATCAATAGGTAGACATGCCCTAATATTATATATCATAAAAAAAAATTAAGAAATCAGCTGGCTCCGCTATGTTGGTTTCAACGTTCCAGTATCTTCAGCCAAATTAATTTCCTAATGCTTATTTTAAAAAAAATTAATGGATACTATATTATTTAAAAATAAATAAATAAGCACATGATATGAGGTGTGGTTGAAGGGGAGGAGAAGAAGAACACGGGTATTGGAAATCTATCATGGGGGGAGGGTAAATGAAATAGACATACTTTCTTTTCATCCCAGTTCATATGAACTCAAAAGTAACTTATATATATATATATATAAATTATATATATGTGTGTGTGTAAAAATAATGCTTCCATTGTTTTTAGCCCTTTTCTTTTTTTACATGTGGATGAGGCCATTATATTTGTATTATCAAATTATTATATATAGGTCTCATTTAAATACACATGGAGACTTACCAAACCTTTTCTCTTTCTCTGTATATAATCTTAGGAAAAGTATGAATCTTTTTCCAACTATGGGTTAAACAGTAAGGTGATCTTTTGCCTTGGCTGGCAAACAATCTCGGAGAAGGACAAATCTGAATTTAAGCCTTCACCTATATAATCAAAAAATGTATGCAGGTAGTCTGGCTCTTTAGTTCTAAGAACGGAAGACATTCTGTTAGACATTCACAGATACTGAAAACAGGAGAGTCCAATATATATTCAGAATCTGCAAAAAAAAAAAAAAAAGAAAAAAAAAATGTATACACACTTCAGGAAAGGAAAAACTTGTATAGATATTGTATGTCTGAATACTAAATTTATTCAGATATCACAAAATTAATACAAGTTACCTTTGGACTCTACAATTATAAGAGATGCTCAAAATGATAGCTTTTAGCTTCCAAACATTTATTAGTACAGAAAACAACTGCTTGGGCAATATTGGCCAAGGTGTCCAGTGGGATTGCTGCATGTGAATTTTAGTTTTCTTGTCTAAGGGCCACCATTTGTCAAGAAAATATTGTACTATAGTAAATAGTGTTATCGCAATTTGATAAAACTATGAAAGACAAGTTTTCAAGTGTGTATACATTTTTTGGTAGACTCTGTATGCAGACTAAAGAGTGGATTTAATAATTAATAAGATTCATGCCTTTGGTTTAATTAACTCCTACTAAGCTAGGATACCAAAACTATTTAACCCATTAAAGATGGTATCCATCTTTTTTTTTTTTTTTTTAAAGAGGGGGGTTAACCAAATTTTTAAATCCACCAGCCCTAAGATTACCAATAGCCAGCAAAGTAGATTAGGTAAAAAGAGCTAAAATTTTAAGAAAACTATGCAGTAATGGGCTAATTTTGTTATTATGATTAAATATATGATAAAACTGTTCAAAAAGAGAAAGTCCCACTGGCCCGATGTATGCTAGTAAATTAGTTTGAAAAAGGCACGCAATCATTAACTTTTAAGCGATTCTTTAAAATCCAGACTGTAGACTCTTACTGTTGCCCTGTCACTGGCGTGTTTATGAAAAAATAAATACACAAAAATTTGCCTCTCTCTCTGTCGGGTGTTGATAGCCTGGGGGTTAGAATCTCCAACTGATGCCAAATCGGTCGGGTTTCAGTCCCAGCTTGAAGTGATTAGATGTCTAGCCACACAGATGAGCTGTGATACAGAGAAACAGTCAGCCTGTGGATGACTATATATATATATATATATATATATATATATATATAAAATTGGCTTATCAATAAAGTAACATACCCAATTTGTTGTTTTTTTTTTTTCTTTGTGTCATGTGGTTATGGTTTTATTTGGTTTTTATCAATAAATACTGTTCCATTATTTTCCTTTTTAGCCAGTTTTACCCTGAAGATCCGTTTAGGTGAAACCTAGGTAGGTTTGCCTGGCTCCTTAGGTTTATTCTAATATATATATATATATATATATATATATATGTCTGTGTGTGTGTGTGTGTGGTGTGGGGAGTATAAAAAAGAATTAATTTAAAAATTTTTTAAACTAACCTTCTAATACACATTGATTGACTTTTCTACAGCTTATCAAACCTCTGAAGGTTATTTAAAGTCAGAAAATATTTTTAGATTCTAAGAATTTTTTTGAGATAATGATTTAGTGGTACAAGTCTTACTAATTAACCCATAGCTGGGGGGGAGAATAAATGGATTCATACCTTTCCGAAAGGTATTTGCTCGTAAGTGAATATAACAAACCCAATAGGAATTGGAACTCAACCTTCCAATTAACAATTCCGAGCCATTATTCATTACACACCCAAGCTTACACCACCTGGTATTTTCAAGTGGTCACCCATCTAAGTACTGACCAAGCTTGACATGGCTTAAATTTGCTGATCTTATGGGAATTAGTGTTTCAATGTGATATAGCTGTAAGCTACTCTTCAAACGCATAGTCAACATTAATACATATTCATTTTTTTATGACATGTACTGTTTATTGTCATGAAATTTGAATAAATGATGTTGGGAGGGAATAAAATGTGTATGTGTGGAAGGGGGGGGTCCCTCTTAATTTTCAAAATTTTAATAAGTGTACCAAGACTGTTTATTTCAGAGGCAAAGGTACAAATTAGTTCAGACTAATTACTTTCGTCTTGTTTTATTATATTTCAGGCCAAATAAAAAAATCAATAGACACACATATGCACTGATGTCTGTTGTATTCTGGAATGTCAAATCATCCCCAACCCCAGTCTCATACATGTCACATCTGGTGTCTTTACCTGTGCATTCTTGCGACTGCTTTCTGTGCTCAGTCCATAACTTTCCAGTGAATCTTTTGGCCTTCACAAAGTTTTCAGGTACCTCGAATTTAATTAAGGGCTCCCATTAATGTAAATGCATAACATGCTATTTGAATGATCTGATGACAGTATATGCACAGGTTATTTCAACCTTCTTATTCACCAATTTAATGAGATAAGGGAAAATAACTAAAGTAAACATTATATAGATATGTCCATCACCTATATATTCTGTAATATTTTACATTATTTTTTTTAACTCTCATGATGCTAAATAGCTTTAAGTTTAATTGTTTTCATACAAAGAATTTTTCCTTGCACCAGGATAATAGCTGGATTAGTAAATAAATTAATTTATTCTAAATAAGACTATTCTTCAGTTCATAAGCATCAACATATTTTTGCCAAAGTTAATAAAGATTGAAAACTCTTATTAAATACAATTGATACTGGGGAAGTTAATTGTTTAATTAGTTATGTGCCATACATGATACACGCTTAGGTGATCATGTATCTTTTGATACATGACTGACAAGGCAGATTTTTTTCTGCAGTAAGTTGTCATTTCTTTCTGGGGTAGACCAGTTGCCATCCAAGTCTGTCCTGCTCTTTACCCATCGCTGTAATGAATTCGACTGGAATTCAAACTTGGCTCTCTGATTCCTCAATCTGAGCTAATGTCCATTACTCCACCGTGAAGATGCAAAGCTTTCAAAATAAATCAGAACAACTTATTGCCTATCGTCTTAAAAGAATATCAGTAACATTAAACAAGATTGTTGTACTGTTTGCTTTTTTTTTTGTTTTCAAGATAAAAAAAATAATCTAAGATAATAAAAAAAAGAAAATAGTACATGTTATATAAATGAAGAGAAATATATTTTTAAGTGAGAGAATAAAAGGACCTTTGTATGTAGTTAAGAATGATTTAAGGAAATGATCATGGAGTTATGGTAATATTTATTTGCTGAAGGGCAAAGGGCACATTGATGGTAGAGGAGGAGGACAAAAATGAAGGAGGAGGAGATATAGAGACAAACCAGAAAACTGGATAAGATAGAGAGATGAAATGGAAAAAAGGAGTGAGAGACAAAACCAAAAATGGGGGAAAGACAAAAGTAAAAACAGAGGTGGAGAGAGAGAAGACCCAAAAAAGTGGAGGAGAAGAGAGAGAAGACCCAAAAAAGTGGAGGAGAAGAGAGAGAAGACCCAAAAAAGTGGAGGAGAAGAGAGAGAAGACCCAAAAAAGTGGAGGAGAAGAGAGAGAAGACCCAAAAAAGTGGAGGAGAAGAGAGAGAAGACCCAAAAAAGTGGAGGAGAAGAGAGAGAAGACCCAAAAAAGTGGAGGAGAAGAGAGAGAAGACCCAAAAATGGAGCGGGGGAGAGAGAACGAGCCCTGGAAGAGGGAGAGAGAACGAGCCCTGGAAGAGGGAGAGAGAACGAGTCCTGGAAGAGGGAGAGAGAACGAGTCCTGGAAGAGGGAGATAGAGAGAGAGCACTGGAAACGGGAGAGAGAGAGAGCACTGGAAACGGGAGAGAGAGAGAGCACTGGAAACGGGAGAGAGAGAGAGCACTGGAAACGGGAGAGAGAGAGAGCACTGGAAACGGGAGAGAGAGAGAACTAAAAAGGGAGGAGAGAGACCACCGAAAATATGGGGAGAACTGAAAAAGTGCATGATAAAATTAACTGTAAAACAATGTAGAGAGAGAGATGAAATTAATGTGGGAAAAGCCAAATGAAATTAACTGAAAACAAGTGAAGAGAGAGAGAAAAAAAAAGACATGAGTGAGTGTGTCAAAATTAATTGAAACAACAACAACAAAAAAAAAAAAAATACTGTTGAGTGAGATACATTTGCTCTCTTACCCAGCACTTATTTTTTTTGTCGATTTGTAATTTTGACCTTTCACTCATTCTCAAATTCAAAACATGCAAAAGAAATTTTTTTCAAGTAGTATTGGAGTTATTGTCCCCCATCTCCTACAGTTCCTGATTATCCTGGACAAAGTGTAATTCTTGTTGATCTTCTCACAGCACATGAAGAGTTTAAGATACTTTAAATATGCTAATAGCTTAGAAAACCTGAAAATCTAATTCAGAATATTAACTTTTATTGAAGAGTCAGTATCTACATATATAAAATTCTGCTAGTCTGTCCATCCATTATGCCCTCTAAAATAGCCCTACATTGACAGATCGAAACCAAATTTTGGGAAGAAGTGTAAACAGGTAAGCGGGTACAAAGTACAGTTGGTTTTAAAGTGCATAGCTTAGTACAATAAATTCCTATTAATTTTTTTTTGAAAAATGAAAAGTTTTATTATTTAATATATAAAATACTCCCACTATTTTAAAACAAATTTAATGATTAAAATAGCAAATACTTATTTAATAAAAATGCAATATTGTTTTTTTTTTTGCATATCATTTCTTGTAAAATATAATGCACAGTAGTAGCACTATAAATATAAAAACAGTAGGGAAATCAAGTTTGTAAATCTCGACAAAAGATGTTAGTGATAACTTCAATAATACTAAATACTATAAGGATTTCAACATTCATAAGTGTATTGCAAAACAATTCTAGTAACAAAACTCTTGATTTATATCCTTCTTTTTCTTCTTGGTATATTAAAAATTGGAATAAATATGAAAAAGCTAACAAATAATTTTGTATTTAAAAGTAAGAGTCATCAAATCTTATTCTATTCCTGTTATTTTATATAACTTTTATAATCCATAGCCCAAATAAATAATGTAAATACCCTACAAAATAGATAACCCTTTAAGAAGTCGTCAAAAAACAAATGTTACAGCAATTTTTTTTTTTATATGCACAAATCCCTTTCATAAAGAAATAAAAAAAAAAAAATAAATAAATCTCCATAGACACGTAAACCAGACTAGACTAAAACATCTTCCGTTTCAAATTTAGACACCCCCACCTTACCCTGACATCTATGAAAGTAACTCTATACTGATACTTATTATTAACACCCAACACACGCCTACCCAATTTAAACAATTCGCCCTAGCTGTTACCATGGAAATTTTGATTTCAATTATTAAAACACGTAAATTTCTGAAATACGTTATTCAAAAAAAAATTTCGCTTGAAGATGGAACAGAGCTTACTTTAACTCAATTTAATTCAAATAATTATATTGAAGTTTTTTTTGGTTGTTTTTTGAAACATGAGACCTCTTATGTCATGAGTTGGAATCATATTTTAAATAAATAAATAATTATATATATATATATATATATATATATATATATATATATTTTATATAAATATATATATATATATTCAGACCATTCAAAAAAATTTCCATGTTTCAAAACTGAAACTAAATTTATAAATTACAAAAATTAAACTCAAAATCCATAGTCTCGTTCCATTGTCAAGCGATGTATGAATAAACTTTCAAAGAAATTTACTTGAATTATAAGCACAGACAATATTGATATTATGAGTTAAGGTTTAGGATAATCTATTTTAATTTAGGGGTGGTTGTTTTTTTATTTTCCAAGACAGGTTATATATCCAATATATGTGGTTTACAAATTCAGGTTTAGTTTAGGTGGGGTGGGGTGGGGGTGCCTGCTAACAAACGCATATTTCTGTTATTCAGTGAGTCATCTGGGTTTTCAATGATAAAAAAACAATTTCTGGTATTTTTATTCATCCGCTTAATTCATATTTTTATACACCAACATTTTCTATAAGGTCACTTGAATATGTCTAAGACATATTTTTAATATTTAAATTTTATTCTTATAGATTTAAAGTACCATTCAACCTGATAACTAATAGAATATACGATATTTTTTACAAATAAATATATTAGAATCTAATTACTAATTAAAAGATCAAATACAAAAACTATAAAAATGTATGTTTCATCTCTATTCTTTATTATTTTATTTTTTTCAAAATTACTTAAGGAAAATATTTGACAGTGCCTACAAAACATAGCTATTTCATTTCTTTGATTTAGTAAAATTTTATTTTTCAGAAAATGTATAATTTTTCATATATGGACAAAGGAGAGGGGTCATTTAATGACCTACAAGCTCTAGTTTTTCTTATTAATTTCCATTTTACTGTTAGTGTTTTATTGGTTTCTTTTAAATGCCATAAATCTTACTGATCTTTCTTATTATTTCAAAATTATATATATATATATATATATATATATATATATATATATATATATGAGAAATTGAAAAAAAATGTTTTTGTGATGCATTTCATCCATTAGGATTTCATCAAACTAATAGATAAAATGCATCTCAAAAACTTTTTCCCAATTTGTCATAGTATTTTTCAAAATACTGTTTGTTGATATAAAAAAATATCATATAAAATCATATATCATTATATCATAATAATAATAATAGTAATACCAAGTCAGTAACACAGTTTGATATGACAAACATCAAGTGCCTGAAAATTGCCATTTCATGAAAATCTAAGAAGCAAATTTGGTATTATTATTACATTATATTTGATTTAGACTTGATTTTGACATTGAGCCCCCAGTTTATTTGATATTTTAAGCTTTAGCTTTTATTCTTACTCTGTGTGTGTCAGTATATGGGCATGTGACAGAGTGGTTAAA